GCTAGATGTTCTTTTAATATGTCGTCAAGATCTGCACTAAAATTTATGAGTCCACGAAACGCAAAATTTTTTGCAATCTACGGTATTAGATAATACATAACGATTTTTCGTTACCTGTTCATTGTGTTTCCGTATATTATCCCAATATGCAGAATATAACTGACTTCTTATGTTTATTTTACTTAATGACTTAAATGACAAATCTTTCACACTGTATATTGTCCATGCTTTATCCCCACCGAAAAGTAAGCACGGAAAACAAAACAGTGTATTTTTTATGCACACCCACTCTGCTTTTGTGTATACATTATTGTTAAATTATCTTTTATAACTTTTGCTTCGGTTTGTTCCACTAACTTCAATATTTAATTGTGGTGTTGGCCCACCTAATTCTTTTATTTTTAGTTTATCCTCATAAGGCAGAGAACCAAATAAAGTTTTTTGTAAATATGAAACACTATTCATTTTAATAACTATAATATCCGTAGACGCCTAAACGAAAATATTCACTTCGTTTTTAAATATTTAAAAAAATATTTTGAGAGTTTGAAACTGAATTAAATGCTATTAAATGTTAAATTTACAATATTTTTCTAAATATCTTCGTACATTGGAATGAAAATATTCGAAAATTCGTTTTTCCAATGTATTTTGTAGTTCAAATTCAAATTTTCGAGATGCTGGAACACGTTGTGTTTCTACTTGAAAAACGAAGCGAAAATAAAATAAAAAACTCAATCAATCAAAATGTAAGTAACTGGTCTTTCAATTTTAATAGAGCTTAAGTGAAAATCGATAACAGATAACTGGTTGATTGATGACTTCGTGAAGCAACTTCGGAAAGGCCCCGAGAAAGTTACACCGAAACAGTTTTTGCAACGTTAAGATTTTCAAACACTTTAAAAGCTTTTTTTTTCGATTCTAATTAAGGAGTTGAAACAACAAAGCACGTCTTACCCCATTAAATCAGGCCGAGTTGCAGACAGCATTTACCGTTCCGTATGATAAATATTTACACTGTGTAAGGACGACATGCACGCCTTGGGAGAGGAAACTTTCACAATAAACTGACCAGTTGACCCTTGGAAATGGCGACCTGCGCCCCGACGGTTCAGATGGGCGTCGCGTGACCATCTTTAATATTTAATGACAATCGAATTCGACGGATGGAATGCCCGTTGGATGGAAGGTGTTGCACGTACATACAAGACTTGTGAATGATTGTTTGTACACTCTGAGAAGTGGAATTCCCTCACTGTAATTTTGTAAAAAACGCGCTTGAACAGGCGGATATTTATTTCATCTGATATAAAGGAAACATTTAATCTTATAGAAGGAGAATATGGCCACTAATAGCAACGGATTTTAGTCCCCTTGTTCTCTTTCCATGGACTTATGCTCTAAATTGATAGTTTGACACTGTGTCTCGAAAACAAATGATGATTGTCTATAAAATTTTTCACAAATAAAATTTAATCGACATTACAGGAAACTAATGAGTTTTTCAACATTTCATTTTTCTCTAAAATCGAATTCGTGACGTCTTTAATATGTTTTGTTTATCTCTAAATGAAAAAATAAAAAAAAACTCCAAGAGTCGAATTTGGCCCAGCCTGTATATAACCCATGTCAAATATTTCTAAAATACATTTTAAAAGAGATATAAAGACACCATTTTTGCCTAAAAATTAATAGAAAATATTTAGAACATGTTTTGCATCAACGAAGTTTTATACAAATTAGAAAAAATAGATTTTAATTACAAAATTTGTCACAAACCAATATTTTATATATTTATATCGATAGAAAAGTACCTACCCAATTTATAAGCTTTTTAAAAATGAAATTTATGATATTGATTTTCTTGGCATTTGCTGACGACCCGCCTCTGGTGTACGGTAAATAGCATAACTATAGGGGCGTAGATCAGCCCAAATTGCAACATTTGATTTGCAACTGTCAATTGAATTTCTCTATTTGACATTTTAACGTGGCTCTAGTTTCGGTTTTATGTTACAGATTTTTGTCAGTAATTAGAAACAATTAATAAATAACTGTGATATGATATAAACTACATGTTTTTCCATCCAAAAATAGATTAGTTAATCGAATACAGTCCGTGAGTGTTTTAGTGTTTATTTTGTTGTGCATATATTTAGAAATTGCTTTTTATTGATTTTTAAATCGTTTTTAGCTGAAAAATGGCTTTGAAAAAGGTGAAGGGGAATATAGAACGAATGTTTGATAAAAATCTGACGGATTTAGTTAGAGGCATTAGAAATAATAAGGAAAATGAGGTGAGTAAATAGTTTTTTTAGGTTATGTTGTTGACATATTGCATATATTTTCGAGATGTTTTTTAATTTCTAGGCCAAATATATCTCCCAGTGTATGGAAGATATTAAACAGGAACTTAGGCAAGACAATTTATCTGTAAAAAGTAATGCAATAGCCAAGCTAACCTATGTAAGCATTAATATTACTTTCCCAATTGTTCGGTTCAATTAATTCGTTTATATTTTTAGCTCCAAATGTTGGGCTACGATATATCATGGGCAGGGTTCAATATAATTGAAGTTATGAGTTCGAGTAAATTTACTTTAAAGAGGATAGGGTATTTAGCCGCAAGTCAATCTTTCCACTGTGATTCAGAGGTACGTTTTTTAAACTTTGATTCGAGTGTTGATGCTACTGTTGATATACTTCTAGTTTCGTTTCTTCGCAGCAGATAGTTTACATTTATTTTTTAGTTGTTGATGTTAACTACTAATATGATTCGAAAAGAGCTGAATTCCCAAAATCAATACGAGGCAGGGTTAGCTCTTACATCCCTGAGTTGTTACATTAGCATGGACTTAGCTAGGGACTTATCGAACGATATTTTAACTCTGGTGAGGCGTGTTATTAAATTTTAATATCATTTAGTCTATTTAAAATATTTTAGCTAAGTTCGACCAAGCCTTACATAAGGAAAAAGGCTGTTTTAATGATGTACAAAGTATTTTTGAAATATCCGGAGGCGCTGAGGCCTGCGTTTCCTAGATTAAAGGAGAAATTAGAAGATCCCGACCCCGGTAATTGTTACTTTAATCGGAGGTGTGTCTTCGTTGTTAATTACGTATTTTTGCAGGAGTTCAGTCGGCAGCAGTGAATGTCGTTTGTGAGTTGGCTAGGAAGAATCCAAAAAATTATTTGAGTCTAGCACCGGTGTTTTTCAAATTAATGACTACTAGTACTAATAACTGGATGCTAATAAAGATCATAAAACTGGTAAGATATACACTCTTATACTAATAGATTTTCAATTTTTTTAAATGCATTTCTCAAGGGTGTAAGGTTGTTTTTCTTTTCAAAAATTTATCTAAAATATTTATCGTGTTGCTCAATTTTTTAATTTTGATATAAAAATATTAAATTCCACATTACTATTTTTTTAAACTTTTTTTAGTCAGGATTGCGAGTATTAGTTATGAGAAATTTATTTGTAAATTCAAGAGTCTATTTTCAAAATGGCCAAGTGATCTCTAGCCTCAAACTCAATCATACGAAGTTTGACATATTCGGTATCTAAAAATGAAAAAAAAAAGGAAAATAATGTATTAAACTGCCAAACAAAAAAAATCATAAACATTAAACATATTCCTAAATCATGAATTTAGACCCAAAACATAACCTCAAATTTATAAATCTTAACCTAAAACGAACATACTCAATTTTTTCTAAACCTGTGACTATAAATCCATAAAAATGGTACTTTTGAGTGTGCAACCAATATTTTTGCATAACTTTAATTCAAATTCATAGGAAGCTGACCAGGAAACCTGAAAACCTAACCTCAAATCCAAAATAATTAAGTTAAAAATTCACGGAAAGAATATATTTTCTTCAACAAAGGATATGATTGCTTCACAAAAACATTCTGCAATATATGTTTTTCTCTGCATACCTAAAATTTAAATCCATAAAACGTAACTTTAAAGGACTAGAAGCTAACCTCATGTTTAAAATTTAAGCTAAAAATAAAAAAAAAGCAAACCAATCCATTTTAGGTTATTTATAAATTTGAGGTTATGTTTTGGGTCTAGATTCATGATTTAGGAATATGTTTAATGTTCATGATTTTTTTTTGTTTGGCAGCATTTAGTACATAATTTTCCTTTTTTTTTTCATTTTTAGATATCTAGTATGTCAAACTTGGTATGATCGAGTTTGAGGCTAAGATTACTCGGCCATTTTGAAAAAATTCTAGGCATATAGTTGAATTACCTCACCGGAACTTTATAGTACAGGTAATTTCGGAAAGAATAAAAAAAAAACAATAGTATTTGATTAGTTTTGACGCGTGGTTCGAATTTTTTCCAATATTTCCCATTGTAACTGTAATGCGGGTAGTTCAAGTAATAATTTAATGAAATTAAATTTTAAAGAAAGTTTTATTTGTAATTTCATTCAAATAGTATTTATTCTACAATAACGCTATTTGTTGCGGATGCATGAGGGTAATTATTCATTAATCTTTACGGTATTATATTGGGCACTACTGTGTAAAATTGGTACTTATGGAAAACTCCTACTTGGGAAACAGTTTCCTTTACATACTCGTGTAAACACTATTTTTAATTTTTTCGATGTAAAACTTGCTCCTAAATATATTTTAATAAGTAAATGCATACAGTTTTCATCATTTACTATGGTGAAACCGGCGATTGGACTGAAACTAACCACTCCATTAGTTAATATCATTGCAAGGTATTTTTTTATTTTTTTGATAATAGTTGTTTATTATAAACGCACCTTCGTTGTGTTAAATATACAGGGTGTCCCAGAGTAACGTGTACAATGGAAGACCAAGATTCGTGTACTCAAAATAGGCAGATTTAGGCTAATTACAAAATTCAAAAAAATTTCACGAACTTTGAGGCCATCTAGCGCCTAAACGATGCGATTTCGGATATAGGTGAATTAGCCGAAATCTGCCTATTTTGGGTCCACGAATCTGTGGTCTTCCGTTGTACACGTTATTCTGGAACACCATGTATTTCCCGCTAGTCCCAAACAGAGATGTAGGTAATAAGATCTAAATTTTCACTGAATTAATATTTACACAGTTCGGCTATTAAGTTTTAAGACTTAGTTTATTGTGGCGAAGTGCGTGGTGCCATCTATGTGTGGTCAGTGGAACTACGTGGTGGGAAGCCTTCCAAGCGACCGAACAAAATTTCTTCAGTATACTTCTATCTACCACGAAGTTAAAATGTTTTGTGTGAAACGAGTTTTTGATAATTATCATGGAAACGCACATTAAACAGAGTATAGCAACCAAGTTCTGTTCTAAATCCGGTAAAATAGCCACCAAAACTTATCAACTGTTACAAACGGCCTATGGTGAAGAATGTGTATTACGTCCGATTGGATTCCTGTAGTTTGGGAGGTTTCGTGATGGCTGAGTGTGCACGACGACGAGAGTGGATGCCTTATCCTCTCGTCATCATGCATGCTGTCCCTGTGCTTATGAAACCTCCCGAACCACAGTGATACGTGATACACACTCCTCGCTGTACGTCATTTGTAGGTTCCGTGGCTGTTTTATTGGTTTTAAAACAGCGCGTAATTGCTATACGATGTTCAATGTGCGTTTTCGTGATAGCTTCCAAAAACTCGCTTCATGTAAAACGTAATAACTTCGTGGTAGATACACATATACTGATGAAATTTTGTTCGGTCGCCCGGAAGGCTTCACACTACGTAGTTCCAGTGACCACACCTAGATGGCGCCACACACTTTGCCACAATAAAATCAGACTTAAAACTTAATATGCGGACTGTGAAGTAGCTAGTGCGTTTGTTTTTTAGTTTGGTGCCCTTACTCCCTTAGAACCTAGGCTAGGTAAAAAATTGATCGAGCCCCTAACTAACCTCATCCATAGGTATGTACACATGTAATACTCGTATTTGTTTTTAATTTTTATACTTAACTTCAAGAAGCTTTAAGTGTGTCGTAACGTGTAAGAGAAAAATGTTTTATCGCTAACTGATAACTCGAAATAATCTGATTTATTGTCCAATTCAGTACTTCCGCAATGAGTCTGCTCTACGAGTGCATAAACACCGTGATTGCGGTCCTTATTAGCATATCTTCGGGAATGCCCAATCACGCTGCCAGTATCCAGCTGTGCGTGCAGAAATTGAGGATTCTTATAGAAGATTCCGACCAAAATCGTGAGTGATTTAAACTATTCGGTACCATAAAATTACCTTCGTTATAAAACCAACGTTTGTAGTTAAATACCTGGGGTTGCTGGCGATGTCGAAAATTCTGAAAACACACCCGAAAAGCGTCCAGGCTCACAAGGATTTAATTTTGCAGTGTCTGGAGGATAAAGACGAGTCGATTAGGCTCAGGGCACTAGATTTACTTTACGGAATGGTAAGATGTTTCGTTTAACTAAAAATAAATACATCGTGTCCAAGGTAAGGATGTCTACCGTAGGATGTCTGTCAAAAACAGTCAAAGACCATTAAATGGAGATATATTGTTTAGTTTTTGAAATATTAAAAAAAAAACTGGATGTTTCTATTTTATTTATTTATTTTTTTGTCAGTCGTCGAAAAAAAAATCATTGGGTGTCAAATCAGGGCTGTAAGGTGGATGATTCCAAGATGATGGCTGAAATGCATGAGAACGAATTTAAATGGTCTTAAGTGAACTCAAAATTTAACAACATTCAAAAATATGTATATTTTAAGATAGAGCTGTATTTAAAAAAAATTGCACAACGTCTTACTAATTTGAGTCACCCTATATCTTTCACTGTTATTCAAAATATCTTAAGATTTAAATAAACATCGGAAAAACACTGAATAAATGCATATAGCGCTGCGGATTACATTTCGGTATTTAAATTTGTACGTTACACGCTACTTTTTGTGCTGTAGGTATCCAAAAAGAATCTGATGGAAATCGTGAAGAAACTGATGGTCCACATGGACAAAGCGGAGGGAACGATTTACCGGGACGAACTTTTGAGTAAAATTATCCTGATTTGTTCTCAGAATAACTATCAGTTCATCACCAACTTCGAGTGGTACGTTACCGTGTTGGTCGAGCTGGCGCAGATGGAATTTGGTTCCAAGCAAGGTAGCGAAAGTTCACCTTTTTTTTATTTAAAATCATTTCACGTTTATTTTTCAGGTCATGTGATCGGGGCGCAATTAATGGATGTCTGTATAAGAGTACAAGCCATAAGATCGTTCGCCGTCACCGAAATGGCCCAATTGTTGGACGTTTATACGTCAACTTCACAATTTACGATAATGCAGGAGGTCCTGTATGCTGCCGCTTGGTTATGCGGTGAATTTGTTAGGTACGTCGTCTTCTTCTCTTCCTCCTTTCCCGTCCACTTTTTTCCTGCTCTGACGATATATATTTTTTTAGCGAGATTAAGAATCCGGAGCAGACACTGCTGTCGATGCTGAAATATAAAGCGCTGCCGCAGCATATCGAGTCCGTGTTCATTCAAAACATAATAAAGATCTTCGCTTACGTAATGGAAAAGCACGAGTTGAACCAGCGGTACGACGATATCTTGAGGTTATGCGAACTGATAATCGACAAGATGGGCGAGAGTATAAAATCTGGAGAGTTGGAGGTACAAGAGAGAGCTAGCACGTCTCTCATTATCGTGAAGATCGTTCAAGAGGAAGTGGTAGCGAGTAAGCGGCCGTTACCGTTTATTTTGGAATTGTGTGAAATATATATGTTTTTTTTTTAGGGAAAGGGATGGGAAATACCAGAATAATGGACGATGAGGATTTAGATTTGAAACCTTCCGTTGATCCGAAAGACACGATCGCAGCGGAGCTGCTCAGTTTGTTTAACGGAGAACTAAATCCTGTAGCTCCGAAAGCTCAGAAGAAGGTTCCGTTGCCAGAGGGGTGAGTACGATTTATTTGCAAATATTAGTAATGTATAATTGTATATATACAATAAATGTTCAGGTTTTAAAAGTTGGGAGCTTCAAAAACTTTAGGGTGTTGCAAAAAAAAATTCGGGTATATTTTGGAAATTCGAATTAAGTACATTTTATGTGTAAAGCTGTAATTTTTGGGTTATTTTCTTTTAACTTAGAAAAATTTGATATACAGTTGAATAAATCGAAACCTAACCTAATCTAACCTAGAAAAACTTGACATACAGTCGAATAAATCGAAACCTAACCTAACATAACCTAGAAAAACTTGATTAAATCGTAAATAATTTTGATAGTGTTCATTTCACAAATAAAATATATGCTTTTTTTTATTGCAAATGCAGATTTATAAGTCATCCCGTTCATAGATCAGGAGAGATCAGTCTTGCATGCTGTTAGATCTCTTTGCTCCAACTATTACCGTTTGGAAATTATTGCAAATTTTAACTATGTTTTTGCAACATATGAAGAATTTAAAAAAAAGTCCTTATAGTCCAATCAAATTAGATTAGAATATTAGAATAAATATTAATAATTAATAATTAATATTATCTATACAGAATATATAATTAGATAGAACATTTTCAAAAGCAAAAATATTTAAAAAATTTCAAAAAATACTTATTTTAACTGAGTTTTTTTACTTATATCTTGGAACCTATGAATTTTGGAAGAACATTGAAGAGGATAAAAGTTTTAGAGTTGAATCTTGCACAATATACTGTAAGATAAAAATGTGTAAATTTATTACCGATGTTGCAAAATAGCAATAATTGATGAAAAAAAGGCAAAATAATCAAGTTTTTTGGATAATTTTTTTAAAATATTTTAATTGCTCCGAGGACATTCTAATTTTGGTAACACAAACTTTACAGTTTTCCGAGTACTTTAAAATTATAATTTTTGAAAAAAATTAAATTGCAAATTGATAAATGTAATTTAATTGTTTAAAAATTAAAAAAACTTTAAAAATTTACTGTTGCCGTCCTAATCAACCAATTTCAATTTTTCTAAAACCATTTGAAAGGTTGAGCGGAAAAAAATTTTCAAGTATCTAGATGCTTTATTTGAGGCTGTACAACATTTCGAAAATTCGAAAATTTTTTTTCAAAATTTTTTTCAAAAAATTACTTTGCGAAAACTCGAACCGATTTTAATGAAATTTTGTGTTTTTTTATTATAATCTAAAGTTTTTTTTATCGAAATTAGAATGCCCTCGGAGTAATTAAAATATTTTAAAAAAATTATCCAAAAAAATTAATTATTTTGCCTTTTTTACATCAATTATTACTATTTTGCAACATCGGTAGTAAATTTAAACATTTTTAACATCCAGTATATTGTACAAAATTCAATTCTAAAACTTTTTTTTCCTCTTGAATATTTTTCCAAAATGCATAGGTTCAAAGATATAAGTAAAAAACTCGGGTAAAATAGGTATTTTTTAAACATTTTTGCAACTTTGAAATTGTTCCGGACCTCGTCCAGATCTAAGGATCTATACTTTTATTATGTGAATTGTACTGAAGGTATTCCAGCAAAAATTAGCTTGCCCCCTCTTACATCCAAGAAGTGGAATATTTTGACAGATCCGCCCTGGTCTATAAGTGCATTTGGAAAATTGCAAAATATTTGAGTTTTTACAAAAATTGAGTTTTTCGAAAAAAATACAATTTTCCCGAGTTTCAATAAATCATATAGTAATGCACTTACGTGACCCATCTTGAGCTTAAGATTTTCTCTAAGAGTTGTACTTTCCTGTGGAATTTGGGCGCGTATTGCAAAATAATTGAAAATATGGGAAAATCTACCGAAACTTTGACTTCTTTGTTTGGTCGAAAAATTTAGGTCATTTTCTTATCGCTGAAATTTAATCGGAATGGCATTCTTGCTGACTTTTTTTCACGTATTTAAAAAATAAATAAATGTCCTTCGACCAGCAGGAGCCGAGAAAATCTTTTTTTTTTCAAAAAATCGCTACGACCTCATTTATTAATATTAAGGTCTGAAATTTACACATGTTGTAGTCGAATAATTTTACTTCAATATAAAAAATAGTCGACAATGATTAACCCATTTTTTTTACAGTAAGCTTAATTTTGTTGGACCCCATAAAATGCTTTTTCATTTTAAAATTAAAAAAATATGCGATTTTCAGTAATTTTTTTCTACAACTTTTATGTAAGTAAAACATTTTTTTCTAAAATGCTTAGTTTTTTAATGAAAAAAACTTTTTCTGAACTTTGGATGGGATTTTGAAAATTAAGCCCTTACATTCAGTTCGGGTAAAATATTTCATTCAATTCTATAGAATTTTTCCTAATTTTTACGTAAATTTTGGCAAAAAACGAGTTATTTTCGACAATTTGAAATATGCTCTTGAAAATTACAACTCTTGTTTGAAAAACTTTTTGTATTTTGAAAGACAACAAAACTATTGCACGGTGCCTCGCTCATTAGCAGCTCGCTGTAAATCTTGTTACTTTTAGTTTGGATTTAGACGTCTGGATAAACGAACCGTTGGAAGAGTCGGATTCCGAAAGCGAACCGGAAATGACCGAAAACCTCTTCGTAAAATCAGACAAGTCGAGATCTATTTACGAGAGACACCATCCCGAACCGACAGAAGAAGACATAAGAAAGGTGCGGTAGCGAAATATGCGTACTTTTTTTATACGTTTTGTCTCATTTTTTTTTTAGAGCCGGGAGGCCAGAAAACACGAACAGCAGAACAATCCCCATTATCTGAAAGGAACCAATTCCACGGAAACTAACAACAGCAACGGCAACGGCGAAACAATCGATAATATCCCCGTAACCGAACTGAATCTAAACGTGCAATTGAAAGTGGCCGGGCAGAAACGATCCGACAAATATCTCATATCTAACGTCGAAAAGAAGAAAATCAAGAAGAAGAGCAAGAAAAAGAAGCACCGTTCCGAGAGGTACGCAGGACGTGTAACTTCTTTTTTGTTCAATTTCACCCGTTCTTGTTTTCAGTTCTTCTGATGAAAACGTGGACACGGCACCAGTCGTAGAAGTTAAGAGAGACATGGAACTTCCCGAAGGTGCTACTCTGTCGGACTCGGAGAGCGATCACGGTCTCAAAGACGACCCTCACAAGGCTCTAGACATAGATCTTGAGTTGTAAGGACGATTACGTCGTACAACGCTTAACGTTTTCGTGACTGTATTTGTTTTAGGCCCACGTACGATTATACCCCGAAGCCGGAGAAAGAAAAACGGGATACCGAGAAGAAGGAGAAGAAGCACTCGAAAAAGAAAACGGAGAAGGACAAGTCGAGCAAGAAGAAGAGCGAGAAGCGCAAAGAGAAAGTCATCCACGCTGAGGATAACAATAAAGAGGCGACGGAGAGAACACACGATAAAGAAAACGACGGAAAAGGAGACGTGAAAACGAAGAAGGTTAAAAAGGACAAGAAGGAAAAGAAAAAGTCCAAAGAAAAGGAGGGTGAGTTAATGAAATCCATGTTAAACTTTAATTTTCAGGAAATGACTTTTTTTTACTACAATGGACGTGAAGGCATATTTTTTTTACGTAATTCGTAAGCTCCGAACGACAGACTTTTTATTATTAATATTACAGCGGACACCAAAATAAATTAAACATTTGTTGCAATATACTTTAAACATCTAAGAAGTGTAGCTAACTTGTGTGGATTGCAGCGACCAATAAAATTACATCAAAAAGTTTTATACTACGGTCACTTTACATATTCCAACGAAGTAAACACTTGCACACAGTTGCGGTGTGATTTCTGTGTCTTTTCCGATTAAATTCTGCAACATCTAATTCCATCTCTACATTTGAAATTCCATTAAAATATTTGTTCTGCCGAGTGCCCCGAGATTAATACAACAAAAGGTCACGGATTCTTATGACAAAGGAGGAGAGCGAGCCCCTAAGGCCAGATTTTGGCCTAATTTATTTTTAGCTGAAAAAATCTGAAAAAAAATTATTTAGTACCTACTAGCAATACTGAATCGTTTCCACCCTAAACGGACCAACCCCCTCACCCTCCTTTCCCCCTCCACCCCCTTAAATGCTGGGGAAGCCATCACTTATTAGAAGAATATTTAAAGTGCTTAGGGATGCGAAAGACATTCAATTCCTATGAATCTTACATATGAAGAGTTTTTTGGGTCGCAATATGGCTGACAACAAAATTGAAATGTCTTCAAAATGCATGATTTTTTTTGTAATGCGGTTTTTTGGGTTTATGATTACGAATCTGGACTCTAAATCATGAAATTCAAAATGGCGGATTCAATATGGTGGACAAAAAAAATTAAAATGTCTTTAAAATGTATGAATTTTGTGTAGTGGGGTTTTTTGGGTCTCTGATTACGAATCTGAAGGCAGAATTACGAAATTCAAAATGACGTATTCCATATGGCGGACAAAGAAATTAAAAAGATCTTCATAATCCTCAAATATTTGTTTATAGAAACTTTCCTGGATCACTGATTACAATTATGAATTCAGAATCACGAAATTCAAAGTGGCTAATCAAATATGCACAAACATGTATGTATAATTATAGATTTTTTCTTTTTTGTTTAGGGTGGAAACGATTCAGTATTGCTAGTAGGTACTAAAAAAAATTTTATTTTTTCTCCTCCGCTCCGCTTTTCCGCCTCCTCCTTTTGGAGACCCGTATTTTTTATTTTTGCCAAGTGGCCCGCTCTTTCCGAGTTAAGCCCCCTGAAATCCGCTCCTAAGAATAGAAGAATAGTCTTTTTTTTATATCAGAACCCTTTTATATGATAATCACTAAACTTGATACACAGAGGTTTTAAGACAACTGGAATCTGATAGTGCTACACTTTTTGGCAGGGAACCCTTAAGACAGTTTATCTTCGACCCCCTTGTCTTTGGAGCCAAAAAAATTTGGTCGCATATTTGAATTTCTTAAAAATTGTTAGTTTGCTAGGAACTTTTTTGTCTCTTGATATTTGTTTCATAAAATGCAATATCTCCAAGAAAATTAGCGAATCACGATATGCATTTGGTCACATTCTGCGATTTTCTCGAAAACATTGCATTTTACAAAAAAGTATCAAGAGACACAAAAGTTTCTAAATTCGATGGCTTAGCAGACTAATAATTTTTAAGAAATTCAAATATGCGACCAAATTTTTTTGGCTCCTTTCTACCAAATTTGGTGATTCTTGTACAACAGTAAATTTTATTTTATTAATTTCGGGACAACCGGTACATCTCACACATCCCGTGTTATGGGCTTATAGGTTATGTGAGGTTATGGTACAGTGAGATGAATTCTAACGTTTTCCCAATCATTTACTACTCAAATCGGTTTGACATCTCTAAAACAGCTTTCTAGAGGAACTTGTTGTTAGGTTCAACGCACAAACCAATCTGCGAATTCTAACCTTAGATTCAGATTCAGCGGTTTTAAACAATCTGTGTCAATGGGCACCAAAGTCCAAAAATGGACAATTAAATATACAATCGACATTTAAGTGCAATATTTCCATGTATATTATGCCCAATTAACTCCCATAGTCCATCTACCGTAATATATATACAGGGTGTCCCATTTTAAATTACGCACTTGAATATCTTGTCAGGGAAGCCACCAATCCAAAAATAACCCTAGCGAAAGTTGCTGGGTTCGGAGGGGGACATCGGATAGTGACCTTCAATTTGACCTTGACATTGACCTTCAAGGTTATTTGAAGGTCGTCTAATTTTTTAAATAGGAACCTCTATTTTTTACCCCAGTTGCAGGCGGGGGTCCTTTATAATCACACCATTTTTCTCTAAAAAATTCTATTTACAGAGTTGCAAAATACCCAAAAAAAAAACTATTTGAAACACCACAATACCTTCAGCCGATACTTTAAGATATTTTCTTTGTAGGCAAAAGCAAATCTAAAAAATCGAGTTCAGGCTATGAGGAGGCTCTGGGCATCTCGACTCCCAGTAAGGAGTTCCAATAATGACAAACCATTTCAGTTATCTTTTAAGAACATGTTATATTTATTGTTAGTTTTTTTTTTTAATACTCTCTAAAGTTACTATTACCGCTTTCTGTTTCTGCCAAAAATGTTATTTTAGTTATAAATGAAATGAAGAGTATAATAATTGCATTTTGAAATGGTTTTGTTACGGCGGTTCGATGCTACTTCATCTAAGATTTTATCGGTGCATCCTATATTTATCTCATTTTGTACTAAATAAAAGATATTTTGTCGATACGTTCTGTATATATTTTTGTAATCGTCTCTTGTATGAAAGACTTATTGATTTACTTATATCCTTAATAGTCTATCCTGAGTTGTATATTGTCCATAGGAGTAATAAATATTATATTGTTTATTAAAATTGTCTTTTTTTAAATGAGACGAGTGTTTTATTTCGGTACAAAAACATCCTAAATCGACAAAGTGACTGAAACCGTGGAAGGGAAACAGTTAAGCATAAGAATGTACTGGTAAGTAATGTTAAGAACTGAAAAATATCAATTTACTGAAAGAACTTATTGAGCAGCACGTCACGACAAACTTTTAGTTTAGTTGCAAAAATCTCAGTAACTTTATTTTAAAGACATCGATGTTTATTTTTTAACCATTTTTATATGTCGAATAACTTTTTTTATCTCTTAATGTTTTAAATTTTTTTAAAAACTCCTATGTAGGTAGGTAGAGCTATTCAGTAGAATCTAGGGGTTGTATTTTTTTGCTAACTCAATTTTTGTCCAACTGAAACCAAAAGGTATGTTTTTTAAATGCAACTTTGAAAATATTTTTATATTTTTTTAATTTCATTAAAAATTATTGTCAAATGATGTCATATATAGTGTTGTTATATTATATACAGGGACGCCACTTTTAAAATGTACGCCATTGGTAACTTACAAGAGTTGCAAAATTTCATACCATTTTGGATTATGGAAAGAAATTCCTGAAATAACTTGAAAAAACTGAAAACTTCTTATTCCATATCTTTTTTATTATTAAAAGTAGAGAAATAAAAATTGGTATGTGCCTATAAGGCTATACACTCATCTGTTGGAAGGTTAGAACATCTAGTCCTACACCCTTGTTTTCATAGATAACTTTTGATTTTCTTATGGATGCTACATTGGATTTTTACACCATTAGATGAAGCATTAAATTTTGAAATCGAATAATACTATAATAATAATACTACCGAATAATACTCGGGACAAGAGATTTTATTAAGGGACGTAAAATGTTAATTTTGTGATTTATTTAATTTGATCCTAGTTGCCATGAAAAAACAAATGAAAATTTTGACATTTCTGTTTAAAAATAAACAAATTATATTTTATTGCTGTAAATAAGAGTTCAAGTGTTTCTATTTTATTTGTAATGGCATAATATTCAATAAGTGAAAAGTGTTTTTGAAAAAAGTACCGCAAATTTAAGGACTGCTAAAATATAAAAAAGATTATTTTTATGGACCATGTGAAAAATGTTTCTATAAAAACAAATTTTAGTTACATTACAAAAAAATACAAAATAATGTGATGCATTGAAATTTAGTAGTGGTAAGTTTTTTGAAGTTTTTTATAGCAATATTAATAGTTTTTGATCTACTAGGGGTCACTAGTTACAACCTTACCAAGCTATTTTGACAGCTTTTTGGAGGTTAGGTTTTTTATGGTTTACCCTATTATATATTTTATGGGTTTACCTATGTCCAGTATTATTTAAATATCCAAATCTACATACTTTTTCCTTCAAACAGGCAAAACCATGTATAAAAACTGTTTGGAAACTTTTGTGTAAAAGCATTTATACATTTTATTTTGTTTTCCACATAGGAAGCACGGGAAACAAATGTTTTATGCAGTTATGCACAATATTTGCCAGTAAACAACGCAGTATATAAACATACCTATTTGTTCACAAAATGGGTAAATTTAATTTAGTATTTAGAATATTACGATTCTAAATTATACTATATCTTAATGCGCACAAATGGACCGATATTTTTCGGTTTACCAACCCAACGTCATTTTTGACCAGAATATGTTGGGTAACGTACATACCTATGTGGCGTAACGCGATTATTCTTTGGGGTTCGGGTCGGAACAAAATTATTTACACTCATGGAAACAAGGCTTGTAGAATTTTAAAGATAACATCGCATACCTATTTATTGCTTAAAGTCCCAAAATTAAATAATTAACAATAAGTGTACAAAATGATGAAACGTACAGATTTCGAAAACGGGAAAAATAATATTTTCCAAATACAAAGAATTTGTTGGTTGACTTTTCTGTATACTTGTTATGGAATAATTTTCTATATAAACATATTAATTGTTAGGTATGCTGCCAACAAAACAGCTCTTGGTATTGTTGGTTGCCTATATGTACGAGATAAGAAAATATTATGTTGTTGATTGTTTGAATAAAGTTAATTCAAAACGAAAGGAAGAAAAATTGAAAAATACTATACTGAGTGTACCGATTCATAGATGTATAGGTCATTGGCGTAGTAATTTTTAAATGTTTTTTTATTAAATTGTGATGACTGATGAGTAATTCAATGACAAATGTGTCAATTTTCGAAAAAAATATATTAGTAGGTAATTATCTGAAATCTAAACCCAGACGGCAATATATTATATTCCCAGAATAATTCAAGTATATTCATTTTAGAACATTTAATTATTCATAGAATCTGTTTTAAATATACGTACAATACATATTTATATTTTTGAGAATATTCATAGAATCATTATATTGGAATATTTCAGATAAACTTAGAATATACATTTTGAAATATTCTGTAGATATTCACAAATATCCAAAGAATACGCATACAATATCTAAAATAAGAATACTCTTAGATGAATAAACTTACAAGGAAACTACCCCAATTCGAACACCGATTTCCAAGATTTTCTTATATGTTGTAGAACATAATTTTTTTTTTTCGGCGGAAAAACATATTTAGGGGGTGAAATCCACCCTCAAAATTCGCCCCTAAAACAGTTTTTTCTAAATATCTGGGGTTCTAATCAATATTTTGAAATGAAATTAAATGGAAATTACTTCTTATAAAAAATAATACTCGCAAATCTATACATTCATTTATTTAAGCCAAAATCAGAAAGATTAACAATGCAACAATGTTTTATGTGGAAGAAGGTACAATATATTACTGTTTTGCAATAGCTCTTATAGGAGGGAGGCCCTATTTTGTAAGCCCAAACCGTCAAATTGGACTTGATATAATTTCCTATGCGTTTTTGTACTTTTACTATATCTTCTTATTTCGCCTTTTAGACACAAAATACAGTTTTCAATTCTCTCCAATTTTACGCATTATCCAGCATCCTGCTTCATGTAACTTAGTTTCTACTCTGGTATTATACACTTACATAGTTGCACTGTTGCAGTGATACTTACAATGGTTGCTTAGCATAGGCACCGACTATGGAGGGCTGAGGGGCTTCACCCCCCATTGGGTCTTCTTGTATCACGCTAAAACTACTTGTTGGATGCGTATTGCGTTTATACAATGAACGTATGGTGTGAAACCGAAAAACTATTTTTAAAAATAAAATAATTTGTCATTAATGGTAAACTAAAAAATATTCATAACAAATATCACAAAATAAAAGTAAGTTCTTTTATATATAGAGAAAATTTCGTGTTGTATCAATAAAATAATAATTAATTATAACTATTATTTTATCGACTTGATTGTTTTACATTTTATGGGCGGAAACAATACTATTTTATTCCGTATTTTACTACCATTTATTTACTTAGGTATTATTATACCAAAAGAAAAAAATAATTTGCAAATTTATTATTTGCCCAACAAAATATTTAATTGATTTTATAAGCAAGGCTGTAGATAATAATTAACGAACAGCTGTATTCAACGTGTGAGTACCATTTGCTTTTTAATAACCTTTTCTTTAAATGACATTTGACAACAATGCATAGCCCAGTACATGCACGCGCTCGGTTGTTCGAGGTCACACTAGCTTGTCCAGCGACGAGATATGAAAATTACTAAATAAAGATTAAAAAAAAAGTTTTCACGACGGGATTTGAAAAAAAATATACTATTGGTACGTGTTTCTAAGGGTAAAACGTAACCTCTGTATAAATATGACTCCCACACAAAGTTATATACATGATAGATTTGAATTCGTGTAAAATGCAAACATGAAATATCTGGGCTATGTAGCATATGAATTTAGCGGAGCGTCCCCTACGAATTTCAAAAGCCGGCGCCTATGATGCTCGGAATAACTTAATATAATTGAAAATTAACTGTAGCATTTCTTCATAGGAAGTAAATTAAAAAAGTACTAAGCATTTGCGATCTCATCTCAGCACCTAATAATAGTCCAGGAAAGTTAGACATAAAAAGACGGAATAAACGAGTTTTTTTATAGAAAAGTGTAGTCAGAAAAGATATGTCACACACGCAATATACCGTGTTTTGAGATATACAGGCTGTTACAAATTCGCTTCTCACTACAGGGACCTCGGAAACGGTAGGAGATACGAAGTAGCTTAAATGGGGGCAAAGTTGCATAATCAAAGAACCAACATAATGCATCTAAAAAATCAAGGCTAACATGATTAGTTTTCGAAATATTTGAAAAAAAAACGAAATTTTGGAAATTCGTTTTTGTTTCATTTCAGCTTTGTTTGGGGTGGTATTGAAAAAAGAGAAACACTTTCTGAAAGCAACTATTTGCCCTCTATCGAATGGCATAATCAATTTTTATATGTAACGTTTCGTCTCTCCAGGACCATCATCAACTTCATTTTTTTAAATACGACCCTGGAAATTTTATTACACTTTTGCAAGCATGACCCCCGATACTGTACTGCCTCATCCGGAACCAGATTAATAAATTTTGTCCATTTGCATACTTTTATATACGTTTTGAACGTTTTTGTTTCCATATACTTTTGTACCGTGCTGTCAGCGAAAAAATTGGAGGGAACATTGCTCGAAACTATATAAAATGATACGGTGCAATTTTCGTTTTCTAATTCCCCTTTGTTATTTAAAAATGAATTGACCATTATTTTACCTCTAAAATATTAATTTTTATATGTCTGTACTTCATTTAAAAAATATACGGGAAAACTATTGGATAAATCGAAATTTTCCATAGAAATAATTTTGTGGAAAATTTAATTTTGAATAATTTTTAGTTGAAACTTTTTTTCGAAAAAATGAATCTTCATTGAGATATTGGCGGTTTTTCGTAAAAAAAACGCGAGATATTATATATAACGAGCGTTCAAATAAAAACGTGGTCGAAGTTGGCTCTGACACATTGGACGTAGGGAGTAGCTTATAGCG